GAGAAGTCCCTACCCCCCACTACTGCAAGGCAGCGATCCTGAGCTCCCCCTCCCCTGCAGTCTGGTGGCTGGAGGATGGGGGAGATGGACTCTGTGAGCCAGACTTTAATGGCCAAAGAGCCACCCCTGCCACAGACCAGTTGATGCTCTGGGCTGCCCCAGGTGCTGTGTTGACTGGGGGTGTTTTTCAGTTTGTGGGCGGGTGGCCTACACGTGCAATTGCATGTGACATGGATGCTGCAGTCTGGGTGCTGGAAGAGCCTCCGGACCGTGCATCACACACTGGCCACCACACAGCCAGAAGGAAGAACCGATTCCTTGGTGGGTCGGATCCCAGTGGCCGGGTTAACACAGGACTGATGCGTCTCTGCCCTGGCACCAAACCGCACTGGAGCTCTTCCTCGGGTTCAGACGCTCCCCAGGTGTCTGACGTGGAAATGGGCTCAAGTAGCACAGTCTGATCTGGAATTGGATGCACATCTGCAGTCCCTTGAGGTCAGGGCGTTCTGATGCAAGCTCCGAGGCCTGGGCCATGAATTGGAGCTGAATTTGAAATTCCCAACGGCAAAGGAGAATGTAAGAACGGCCACACTGGGTGAGATCAAAGGTCCGTCTAGCCCGGTATCCTGTCTGCTAATAGCCAATGCCAGGTGCCCCAGAGGGAAAGAACAGAACAGGTGCTCGGTGGACTTAAACTGCAGCAAGAGAGGTTTATGTTGGACATTAGGAAAAACGTCCTGCCTGTCAGGGTGGTGAAACACTGGAATAAATTGCCTTGGGGGGTTGTGGAAACTCCATCCCTGGAGATATTTCAGAGCACGTTGGACAGACACCTGTCAGGGATGGTCTAGATGGTGCTTGGTCCTGCTGTGAGGGCAGGGGACTGGACTGGATGGCCTCTCGAGGCTCCCTCCAGTTACATAAGAACATAAGAACGGCCATACTGGGTCAGACCAAAGGCCCATCTAGCCCAATATCCTGTCTGCCCACAGTGGCCAGCACCAGGTGCCCCAGAGAGGGTGGACCGAAGACAATGATCAAGCGATTTGTCTCCTGCCGTCCCTCTCCAGCCTCTGGCAAACAGAGGCCAGGGACACCATTTTATCCCCTGGCTAATAGCCTTTTATGGACCTAACCTCCATGAAATTATCTAGCTTCTCTTTAAACTCTTTTATAGTCCTAGCCTTCACAGCCTCCTCTGGCAAGGAGTTCCACAGGTTGACTACACGCTGTGTGAAGAAGAACTTTCTTGTATTAGTTTTAAACCTGCTACCCATTAATTTCATTTGGTGTCTTCTAGTTCTTCTATTATGGGAACTAATAAATAACTTTTCTTTATCTGCCCTCTCCACACCACTCATGATTTCTAGATTCTAAGTGCTCCATCACAGACACTTGTATCCGCGGGTGTGTGCCCATGTATGTATTGGCATGGACAGGCCTTGGATCCAGCATTGCAGGTGGGCCTGTCTTGAAGCACTGGAATGCCAAGGTAGGGCTGCCAGTGGTGTTTAGCCTCAGTCGCCGTTAATGTTCAAATAGTCTCATTCACGACCGTTATTTATTTAATTGTGACGTGGAGCCAAAGCCCCACTCGGGGATGGGCATTAGAGTGGGCAGGAATTTTTGGCGGGAACACGTTTTCGTTGGAAAAGGGCGATTTGTCCAAGTTCTGCGGGAATGTTTTATCCTGCACGTGGATGGAAAAGCTTAGCGGGAACATTGCCCCACCCATCAGTTTTCACCTCTTTCTGGAGGAGGGATCTGTGCAGAGAGACCTCCACTCGCGATCAAAAGGGGCCTAAAGGTTTTCTTTTGGCATCTCAAAGGAGACGTTTCTCTCTGCTAAGTGACTTTCCTCCCATCTCCCGCTGCACGGGAAGTTCCTGAGTTTCACACAAAGCCAGGCGACTCGGCGGCGATGCTGTAGCACTGAAGGGGAAGGCGTGCGCTAGCAGGAGCAGGAGTCAGTCGTGGAGTTGAAAACAGAACGAGTACAGAGCTCTGACGGGGCTGGCGGCTAATCCACAAAGGGGACAGCAGGCTTTGATCTGACCTGCTCAAAACGGAGCGAGGCCCTTTGCAGCTCGGTTCCAGGTTTTTGGCTTTGCATCTTTTCCATAAAAGAGGCAAATCCCCACGAAGGATCAAGGGATTGCTTTGCTCTCCTCAGGCCACAGTGCCTAGGGAGCTAGGGTTCCATAGCACTGCGTGCGGAGTGGGCGGGCGGGCAGGCACTCTGCAGACGGCACTGGGAACGGGGCTGGCAACACCATCGCTTTTCCCAAGGTCTGGCCAAGGCAGGCACTGTAGTCTTGGCACTGGGGTGATGGCATAGGCACTGAAAGCTGGCGTGGGGGGTCCAGTGTAAGCTTTCAGCAGAACACGGCACTTGCAAGAGCAGCCTCACTGGTTCTCGGCTGCACAAGCTGGTCTCCGCCAGAAGCGGCTCATGCACCATGACAGGGCAACCTCTCGGGTCGCTAAATGTTTCCCGGTTTCTCGGGTCGTCCCCTCGTGGTTTCCCAGCAGGCTGCGAGGAAAAGCCCCGGGGCCGGGTGTGGAGCGGTGATGGCCACCGCCCTGCTGCTGATGCCTTTCTTCTCCCTCCCTCAGAGCCATGGAGAAGGGCTAGCGGCCGCAGAGGGAGCCGTGCGTGATGTGCCCTCGCTGGGGCCTGGCCTGAGAGGACAACGCCGGGCAGAGTCAATGGGCAGCCAGAGGGCTCCCTCTCCAGCCGTCACACTGCAGACGGAAGGAAGGCCCGATCCCGAGGCCTCTAATGCCAGCGGAAAGCCCCCGATGGAAGGTGAGCAGGGGCGAAGGGCGAGCGTGTGTAATGATTCGGGGTCTCTCGCAGGCCGGGCCGGGGGGCAGCGCTGGTGGCAGCTGCCGGGGATTGCCGTGGTGAGCCACAGTGTAACAATTCTGAACCCCTCCCAGGCTGGACCAGAGTCGCAGCCTCTGTTCCGCTCTGGCCTGCGTGGTATCGGGCAGTGCTTAGCCCGGGGGAGCGGGGTTACTGGCCACGGACACGAGGACGCTGCTTTAAAGTCTTCTCGTGTTGACGCTGGCAGCTGCAGAGCCCCTTTCTATTAGGCTGGTCCCCCGGGACTTAGCGTGGGTGCCATCTCCTCCCCTAGCCAAATGCCCAGCGAGCCCCGTGTTCCTTACCCCCCGTGCAGCTGAAATAAGGAGGAGGCGTTCGCAGCGCGGCCAGAGAGGTGAAGACCCCTTGACTGTCCAGCGTAACCACCCGGAAACGTGATGACCGCTGGGCCTGGCATGTCCTACCTTTCCCAGACCTGAAGAGGAGCCCCAATTGCCTCTTGCCACCTGTCCAATACACTCTTGCCCCTCCCACCTTGTCTCTAGGCAACGGTAAAGCTAGGCAGGGCTACCCACTCCGTCTGTGGGGGTGGCAGTCAGACTGGGCGACGTGTCTCCAGTTGATCAGGTTTTTTAAACGGAGTTGGAAATCCCAGGCAGATGAGACTTCCTAGCAAGATTTCTGGTGCTTCGCGTCGTCACTGGGGAGGAAATCTGTGCGGAATGCTCCTCGCGGTGCTCTCTTTGGAGTGAAAGGGGGCAGGGCTTACCAAGCCATTTACTGTCATAACTGATGTGCCAGGGCTCTCCCCGCGCACATCACGCACTGGTATGTTGGCTTTTGGCCCAATCCAGGCCATGCACAGGTGCCCAGAAAGGGCTTGAGTGCGATGTGAGTATTTGGTGAAAGCTGACATTGGCTGAAACTGATTTGCCCAGATCCGATGGGCAGAATTTGCATCTCTCAAGATTTTCTGCTCAACCTTTCTCCTTCCAGGGAGGGGCTGGCTTGTCTCCCATGCATTTGTCCCTGGAATGTGTCTTCTAATGGAGGAAGCAGAAACAGTGGGGCAGGAGCGTGGTAGCTCAGCTGGTCCTGAACTTGGTTTGGGGTTCTCCCGCTGGCGCCCGATGGCTTCAGCCTAGTGCCTGGTTTGGACAGAGCTTGTCAGGCCCAGTGTTATCTCCCTGCGTATTCCCTTCCTGGGCAGTTCGTTCTGTCCGTTATAGTCTGTACAGAGACGGCCTTGCCCCAGCCACGTGATCTCCGAGAAACTCGCCTCTCACCCTTCTGAGCAACATGTCCGGAGCACGCGGCAAGCCCGGTTCCCGTCAGGGGCTCCTCATGCTCATTGCTCCCCCCTTCTCTCCCTCCCAGGGGTCTGGATCAACCGCTACCGGAAGCAGCTGGTGAGGTGCATCTCGCCGCAGCTCCTGGGGGAAATCATCTGCTACATGCGGAAGCTGGACCTGCTGAGCGCTGAGGAGGCAGGCCAGGTGCAGGAGGCGAGCTCCCTGTCGGAGCAGGTCAAGGCGGTGATGGATCTCCTGGCTGGGAAGGGCAGCCACGCCTCCCAGTCCCTGCAGACCTACCTAGAGACAACCAACTCCCAGCTGTATCTCCACATCACCGTCTACGGTAGGAGATGCTCTTCTCGGTCTCCTGGCTGAGAGCAGGTGTGCCGTGAAAAGTCTGCGTGTGGGCCCACCCGTCAGCGTGGGAGGGTGTACCCGTACCATCCACTGAGCCAGGGGCACCCTGGGGACCCCCTTGGAGGAAGGCAGCTAGCCAGGGACACTGAGATACTCCCAGTCCCAGGTTCCACGACCTCTCCAGGCGCTGCGAGGAAGTGACTTGCCTGAGATGTACGTTAGATCAGCTGCGCTCTAGTGTGAACCCCTGGCCTCCTGGCGCACACCCCAGTTTGTCTCCTCGTTTCTCCAGCCGCCTCAGCAGGATAAATAAGTATGAAAGGCTGCTTAATAATGGCCACTCTGAAATGCAGCTTCCTGTGGGAGAGCTTGGACAATGCGACCAGGGTCTGCTGCCTGGCCGATAGCGGATAGCAGCCCTCGGGAACATGCCGGGGAAGGGGCCGCGAGTGAAAGGCAGCCTTACGCAGCCTCCACACACGAAGGCTTGTGCTAGAGTGAAAAAGTAACGGCCGTGTCCTGAGCGCCACAGCCCCCAACCCCAGGCTTCCCGACCGAAATCCAGCATGGGGCGACCAGTGCACACATGGGGCTGCTCCTGTGAGCCACGCAATGGCAAACCGGAGTCATTGTCAGCTGAGGCTAAACAAGTCTGCGAAAGTCTTATCTGGTGCAAGGTGCATCTTCCAGCCCCGTTAATGTTTCATCACCACGGACTAGGTGCCACTAAACTCCCTTATGGTCCACACGCATATGAATTTAAACTGTTAACCGGTATCACCCGAGCATAGGTCTGAATGCAAACACTCCTCCTGCAGTAAAAGGACGGCTTTTGTCTGTTTCATGTTCCTTGCTTGGGAAGCAGTTGAAGTCAAATCTAGAAAAGCCACGAGGAGTAACGGTAGTTCGGATTAGAGATCCTAATTCGAACTACCTACTCCGTGTCGTGTGTAGCCGCGGGCACGGAGTTCGGACTAAGGGACATTTAAAAATGGCGGCGCCTGGGAAGATGCAAATGAAGCCCGGGATATTTAAATCCCGGGCTTCATTTGCAACTTCGAATGCCTACATTAGCCTCCCTAGTTCGAACTAGGGGGCTAGTGTAGACAGACCCTCAGATCCTAATAGATGTCTTAGGTCATGAGCTTTCATGGGTAAAACCCACTTCATCAGATGAGCTGGAGTGGAGATTACAGAATCTGGGGTCTATATAACAGCAACAGCAATTACCTGTCAATTTTAGGACCAATGTTAAGGAACCTAATTAATCAGGGTAGACTTGTGTCTACTTGTGTCTCATTCACAGCATTTGATGTGGAGATTTGAATATCAAAGCTAAGGAAACTGTCTTTGTAATGAGTTGACCAGTTAAGATCTTTATTCTAGCCTAAAAGATAGTGTTGAGCTTGTAAATGAACTCTAGTTCAGCTGTCTCCCTCTGTAATCGGTGATAAAATTCTGTTGTAGAAGGACGGCTACTTTTAAATCCATTACTGAAGAGAGGTTAAAATGTTCCCCTACCGGTTTATGTGTGTTACCCTTCCCGATGTCTGAAGTGTGTCCATCTAGCCTTTGCCATAACTAGTCAACCCTTTCCAGTGTAGACAAAGTCTTCAAACGACTGAGCGATCCATTCGCTGCCCTGTCGTTTGCAGCCCTCTCCCCTGAATTTGGCCAAGATTTTCTAGCAAGGAAGCAGCTAAGAGGAAAGGGTGTATGACGAGGTACGCTAATTCCCTTCTACTTCAATGAGCACGTCCGTCTGTAGGCTCGGTCACACTCCTAAGGGCGTTCCAGTGTACCCACCCCTGGGCCCAGCCGTTAGTGGAACTGTACTCCTACAAACCCAGGCTCACGCGGACGCCTCCAAGCGGCATCTGTCTGGGGAGGAGACTGAGTGGGGACCTTATGCAGAGGTTGGTAGCTGAACGTGGGCTGGCCCATGTCTCACGCGAGCGACACTGTGAGCAACTGGCCAGCAGAGCGAGGGGCTAGCGTGGCTACCGGAGCCCTTCCCTGGCGAACGAACGTCTCGCTAATGGACACAGATTTGCCACTTCGGGCTTTTTCAGCTTCATTAGGAAACGTGTAAAACTAGCCTGGACGAAGTCCGACAGCACCTGCCGGGGGACAGTCATACTCAGGGGCGGCTCTAAGTGCCGTGAGTCAATGGCAGGTGCCGTCTCCTGCCCTGACATTCAGTCAAAACGTTATTTGACCAAGTGGGGCCAGCCAGCCGCCAGAGCAGTTCCAGCCCCTCCTTTGGGCAGCTGGTGGCGTGTCTGACTGCATGTCAGGGCAGGAGACTGCACCCTCGCCGTCCCGTCCACAGCCCCTACCACCCTCCCCCTTGGTAGCAGGTTTTCATACTCACTTTCCTGGCCTCCAGAAATGCCAGCAAAAACGAGAAAAAGTCCGGCTGTGCCCGTTGTTGATGCTGGTGGTCGTTGTCTCTCTCGACCAGTTTTGCTTCTCTCTCCACAGACCCGATGGTGCAAAGGCATTTGGAGAGTCTCCAGAATCGCTACGGAGCGGGCGTGGAACCTGGCCGGCTGGAGAGGCTCACCAACCTTCTGCTGGTGGAAGGCTTGACCGATATTCAGCAGAAAGAGCATGATGTCGTGCAGATCGAGGCCACCAAAGGCATGAGAAACGTCTCCAAGCAAATCCCTCTGGAGAAACTCTTCCTGCCGCTGACTAAGGTCAGCATTCCTCCCCGCATCTCTGTGACTGTGGGCGTGGCCGGGATTGGCAAAAGCACCTTGGTGAAACTGTTTGTCTGCATGTGGGCCAAAGGGGAGCTCAACCAGGATATCGTCTTTGTGCTGCCTCTCGCCTTCCGGGAACTGAACGCTTACGAGAAACTCTCTGCTGAGCGGCTCATCCGGTCGGTGTTCCCTCACATCACAGAACCCAGCTTCATTTTTAGTGGCACGGTCCGGACGTTACTGATTCTGGACGGCTTGGACGAGTTTAAGACTCCTTTAGATTTTTCCAACACAGTCGTTTGCACGGACCCCAAAAAGGAGATTCAAGTGGATAGCCTGATCACCAATATTATCCGTGGCAACCTGTTCCAGGAAGCTTCAATTTGGGTCACTTCACGGCCCACAGCCGCCAGCCAGATTCCAGGTGGCCTCGTTGACCGGATGACAGAAATACGAGGTTTTGGAGCGGTGGAGATCAAGGACTTCTTGGACCAGATGTTCCTTGAGAACAAAGACTTATCCAGTCAAGTCTTGGCTCATCTCAAGGCGAACAGATCTTTGTACACAATGTGTACAGTTCCTGCCTTTTGCTGGATATCGGGCTTCTCCCTGGGCTATTTCCTAAAGAACAGCACTGATCAATCCCAGGAAATGCCAGCTGCTCCTAAGACCTTGTCCGAAGTCTACTCCTATTACTTTAAAATGGCACTGAGCAGTGATTGGCAGGAGAAGCAGAAAGAGACTCCCAGGATAGAGCAAGCTACAAACAGCAGCAAGAAACTTGTCGGTAACTTGGGTCGCTTGGCATTTTATGGTCTGCTCAAGAGAAAGTACGTGTTTTCTGAACAGGACATGAAAGCCTACGGCCTAGACCTCTCGTCACTACAAAGCAGCCCGGGCAATCGGCTGTTACTCAAGGAAGAGACGCAGGTCTCCTCCGTCTACTACTTCTCCCACTTGACCCTCCAGGAGTTTTTGGCCGCCACTTATTACTACGTGTCGGCCAAGCGAGCCATGTTTGACCTCTTCACGGAGAGCGGCATGTCCTGGCCCAAGTTTGGCTTCCTCAATCACTTTAAGAACGCCGTCCAGAGATCGCTGCAGGTGGAGCAGGGGCAGCTGGATCTCTTTGTGCGCTTTCTCTCTGGCCTTCTCTCGCCACAGGTGAACCGATTGCTGGCCGGGTGGCTCGTGGTGAAGGATGAGCACACCAGCTTCCGAGGCCACGTGGTCAGCTTCCTGCAGAGCTGCCTGAACACCGACTACGTCATCTCCTCCAGGACTGTGAACATCATGCAGTGCCTGTATGAAGTGCAGCACATGGAGCTGGCCAAGTCTGTGGAGGAAGCGCTGAAAACCGAGAGTTTAGCCGGGATGCTAACCCCAGTGAATTGCTCGGCCTTGGCTTATCTCCTGCAGGTCTCAGAGGTGTGCATGGAGGAGACCAACCTCTCCAACTGCCTCACCTACAATATCTGCAAAAGTCTGCTCTCCCAGCTCCTCTTCTGCAGCAACCTCCGGTAAGTCAGACTAACGTCTCGGGGAGGCAAGTGGAGTGTGTCCACTCACCTGGGATGCACAGTGGAAAGCGGCTGAGTGGATGGCTGTCCTGCAAAGTGAAATCTACTCAGAGGTTGGCCGTGGGATAGTCACGCAATGTGTGTCGTGTTCAGAGCTGGGGGCTGAAAGTCAAAACTCTTGGGGCTTCTAGTCCTGGGGACAGCAGTAGAAGGCCTATCAAGGTCCCTCCCAGTCCAGTGAGTCTACAGTTCTATTTTCACCTCTGCCACTGTCCTTGGGCAAGTCAGTCCAGCTCTGTGCCTCACTTTCTCCACTTGTAAAGGGGACAGTATACTACCCGTTTCACAGGCATGGTGGGAGGGTTGATTAATCCAGGGTCTCCTGCAGGAGTGGGTGGGTGAGGGGCTGTGTTCTATAATGTGCAGGAGGTCCGACTAGAGGGTCGTGATGGTTCCTTTTGGTCTGTAAGCTCAATAGATTCAAAGTGCCTTGTGCTCTCTGGGTGAGAGGGCTGGAGAAGGGAAAGTGGCAGCGATGAGATGCCAAACATCACGCTGTGATTGCTCTTCTCTCTGTATCAGTGGCTGATGAGCTTTCTGAGGCCACGTCTCCACTACCGGGAAGATTGATGCTGTGGTGGTTGATTTTCTGGAGTTTGATTTAGCGGGTCTAGTAAAGACCTGCTCAATCGAATGCTGAAGGTGCCCCCGTTGATGCCATGCTCCTCCATTCGCAAGGAGGAAGGGAAGTCGGCGGGAATGTTTGCTCCTGTCAACCTCCCGCTGTGGAAAGTTGAATTAGGGAATGTCGACTCCAGCTATGCAACAAAGGTAGCTGGAGTTTCGTATCTTAATTCAACCTTCCAGGTAAGTATAAAAAAGGTCTGAGATCTGCCAGTATTGATTTGTGGGGGCCTCTCAAGAGACTAGAGAGCCTGGAGTTGGGGTTTTTGCTTTCTGGGCTGGTAGAGAGGAGAAGGCGGGTTTACCTAGGCTACTCTCACGCTGGTACCTTCAGCTCTGAGGAGCAGCGGCTAAGTCAGTCGCTTTCACTTTACAGTGCTTGGCCTCTCTGCCGACGTTATCGGAACGGTGTCAATGTGATGGGCTGAGGGGTGAGAGCATAGACTCAGGGGACTGGCAGGGACCTGGAGAGGGCATCTAGTCCCCACCCCTGCCTCCTGGCAGGACTCAGCATTGTATTACACTTCTCCCCTAGGGCGTGGACTTGGGACCCCTCTCCTTTCCCACTGGCCAACTGGACAGGCCTTGAAAGACGGTCGGGTATTGCTGGGCTGGCTGGGGCAGCTCATGGGTAGAAGATTTTGCCTTCCACTCACAGTCCCTGGAGCGATCTAGCCCCGCCTTGGATAGACCTCCCCAGTCGCTGCCCCTAATGTCAGACTTAGTATGTCCAGCTGGCCAGGACTGGCCTGGCTCCAGCACAGTGCCTGGGAGGGTTGGGCATACCTGGCCCGTGGGAGCGATAACCTGGTGCCAGCCTCCACGACTCGTCCAGGAGGCCGCGCAGAGACTGGTCTCGCTGTACGGGAACAGGCTTCGTGCTCCGATAGTGCCCTTCCCGGGAGGAGCCCAGGGCGCTGAAATGTGGTGTTGGTGCAAGGGAAGAGGA